ATTTAAATTCAGATTTAACACCATAGGTTGTGTTAATCTCTGATGTACCATGTTTCTATCCCCAAAATGACTCCATATAAAGAAAAGTTTTAAAATAACAAAAAATCGTTTATATGTGCCTTCTTTATTTTCGAGGTAGAATCAGTCACTCATTTTTTCTGTGTTCATATAGCATATTAATTTGTTTTTTTATAATACTGCATTATAATTATTTGGTCTGTCTGCTTAGGTAGAATATAGACTTCTCAAAGACAAGAATTTTAGTTTCCAAATATCTGAAGCTCTATCAACAATATAGTAAATGCTGGTTGAAGAATAAATAAATGAATACTTTAGCAGATGTAGTTTTAAGATTCCTATTACAGGACACAATTATTTGTGAATTATAAAAAGAAAAAAAAAATTATAATATTCAAGAAAATATACTCTATCTCTTATGAAACTCCCATTTTATTGCTTATATTTTTCTTTTTAGATTAAAATCAATCTCCTGATAACTTTTGACTCAAGAAAGGTTTCAAGTAGTTCAAATGCAAATGTTTGAGCTTCCACTTTCACTTGAAACTCCATTTTTCCTCATTCAAATGTACATTAAAGTCCATCTATTTCACTTTATAGGTAATTAGAATGAAGGTAGTTATCAGGCATGCCCAAAATTCCATGGTGGAGACAGATCTTGAAAGTAATTATCCTGATTCCTGGGTCAATATTCTTCCCAGCACTCTAATCTCATCTTTCAAAAGAGTGAACCATGAAACTGAACATTTTCTCATTCATTCAATGACTTTCACCCAATTAACACAAATGACTAAAATACACTCATCTTGAAACATTCCAATGAGATAAGCATATTATCTTTCAATAGCTTTTTGGATTATGTTCTGAGCCTTACTGAGGATGCAGAGAGAGGAGAAGGCTCACAGTGAGTTAGTATTTTGGTCCACTCATGCTGCCTGCTGAGGACCTCAGAGAGAGTAAAGCATCACCTCTGGTTCAGACTTACAACATAAGAGAGCATAAATCCTTATTCTTTTCTTCTTATTTCCTGTCACCTTTATTTTTCTCTGCATTTACCACCATCTGGCTTGATTGTTGTGCCATGTTTCCTGATTGCATGGTAATTTTTTACACTAGGAGAGCTTGTTGGGATAAAATATGAGAATGGAACAGATTCAGAAATATTGCACTTATGAAATTAAATTAATTAAATATGATTAACAAATATCATACCATCAGCCTGGCCTGCCCAAGAACTCTAGATCAGAGTATACAGCAAAGGCCTCAACTGGGTACCAGTAGATTAAATAGTCTGGTGAGTTTTATGATTCTTGAGATGGATGCAATTTTATTAGCACAGAGTCGTTTTGGACTTTTATCCTTGGGTGGTAGTGAATTTCACTAACTTTGATTTGTTGACTTATATTACCCCCAAACAAGCTTTAAAGAGTCAGCCCTGGGCATTTCAGGTGTTTTACAACTGAAGGGTAGCCCAGGTGACCTACAGTCAGAAAATCAAGGTTCTACCCTCAGCTCTAAAACTTATTGTGTGAGTGGACAAGTCACTTTAACTCATTAAGCCTTTGCTGCCTTGGCTTGAGAATAAACAGAACTGCCCTGGCTACTTGACAGGATTTTTATAAAGAGCAAGGGAGATCATGTCTATGAAAATATTTTATAGTGTTAGATATATATATATAAAACAGTAAACATTTTTGTTTTTATCATGACAATAATAATTACACCATTAGACAGGCTAAGAGTTTTGTCCTATTTTTCCTTTTCTGTTAATATTTACTGAGCTAATAAATGCTAGAGTAGTACTGGTATTAATGCTCAATAATGATACCTATTAAGATTATTATTGCAAGGGCATATTTTCCAAAATATTTTCTATTATCTCTTATAAATACAATAGAAGAAGTGACCCACTGGGGATTAAGGTAAAGCAGTTATAGAGGTAAGAATGATCTGCCCAGCCAATATAATTGCCTATTTCCCACCCCTACTTTAAGTTAGTAGAAAAGGGAAGAGTAATAAGAGATGAAGCTGGGAGCATTAACCCTAAAAGAAGAGTAGCTTAAAAATAAAGGACTGGGGCTTCCCTGGTGGCGCAGCGGTTGAGAGTCCGCCTGCCGATGCAGGGGGCGCGGGTTCGTGCCCCGGTCCGGGAAGATCCCACATGCCGCGGAGCGGCTGGGCCCGTGAGCCATGGCCGCTGAGCCTGCGCGTCCGGAGCCTGTTGCTCCGCGACGGGAGAGGCCACAACAGTGAGAGGCCCGCGTACCGCAAAAAAAAACAAACAAACAAAAAAAATAAAGGACTGGTATGCAGTGTCCAAAAGAAGTTCACACACCCACAGTTTCTTTTACCTGAAGATGACATAAAAAGCTTAAAATTCTGGATTTCCTTCTCTTTACTGAGGATTTTCTGTGTAACCTTAAAATAAGCCATTGAACCTCTTGGTCTTCCCAGGTAAAAATCTGATACCTTCCACCTGTCCAAGATGGACTGATTTTATGTTTATCAAGACATATCAAAATATAGCTTATTTTAAGTTCCTCAAAAGAAGCAAGATGCTATCAAACCCAGATGGAACCAGCTGTCTTCTTTCTCTTTTTTTTCTCTCTCTCCCTCCCTTCCTACCTGCCTACCTAATTACTCACCCATACACATTTTGGTTGTGGTAATAATAATGTGGGAAGGATCCATTTATTAATAAAATAAAAATTCTTAGTCATAAAATGGAAAATTATTGACATTATAACTAAGGTTTAGAATAGATCACATGAGAATTTCTTGAGAGAGCTGTCTTCACATTAATCATCATCATCTTCATCTATCATTACTCTCCCTTTCATTTTGACAGATGTGGAAATATTTTATTGGTCTGTGAGGCAGTGCAATAATATACCAGGAATTTATCAGCAAAACAGAACTCCATTTGCTCTGTTCTTTCTCTCTTGTGAATAGAGAATAATCTATTCAGCTGTATGTTTGAAATTATTAAGTGATCAGAGTCATAACAGAAAATTGCCTCTTCTAAATGCTAAATGTAGTGTCTGAAGTATGTAATGGTTTTAAGATCTTAGAAGTCCTATGCACGATAGGACAGAAGAGGATGATAAGGTATGGGTTAGGACATAAACATAAGTTATACAAATAAAAGATACTTAAATACACTCACACCACATATATATTTTTTTCACGGTAGAGAATTAAAAAACTAAATATTCCAAGAAGTAAATCTATTTCCTTAACTGAGATAGAACATTAAATAATTCATGGAGATAGAAATAAAGATCCCATGAGGGAGAAAAGAGAAAACTAAACATGGTAAGATTACATAATACAATTGTAAGGATGATTTATCTTTCAGTATTTTCCCATATGATCTTTCTATGAACTTTCTTTGGCAAAAAATAGAATTCAAAATACCTCATATTTCAGGTTCACACGAACTTGGGGTGAAAGATGGATTTCATAAAAACATTTCAACTTCTACAGTTTATTAAGCAGAACAAACAAAGAGGATTTTCAGAAATAGGGCATATTTTAATTTAGGTTGATAAATTAGATTTTCACATAGGGTTATTACTGCATTGCATTACTTGAAAGCTTGGTGCTAGCCTTGTTACAATTCCATATCATCACCACACTGAGGACAGTGGACGTGCCTCAGGAAAGTTATGGTGTGCCACATCCAGAAACAAAAATGCTGGGCACCATACCAACAGATGGGCCTAAATAGAGCTGATAAAGGTGAGGAAAAAATGAAAGTAAATGTTAGAGGGAAGGAGGAGAGAACCAATATTAAAAATGTAGTCCAGGAAGCTGAAGTCCATCAAGAATTACCATCAAAGTCAAATTCACAAACAAGCGTAGATGTATTCAAGATGGAGTTTCTTAGCAAATTCCAATTTAATCTAATCGGTCACTGGGCCCTAGCCATTATTTTAACTAATTCACTCTTCTCAAATTACCGTGGAATAATTCATTATAACCCAAGCAATTTTAAAGGAAAATATCAAGAGTCCCAAATACAAATGGTTTACTAGGTAAATTTTAATTTTACATAATTTGTATTTTTCTAATGAATAATTTTAACCAACAGGTAGTGGGGGAAAGCTTCTAAGATTTAGGAGCTTTTCACCCAACAACCAGATTCTCAGGAAAAATCGTGGCTTTTCTCTAACCCACATTCTATCACCTAGGATCTTAAAAGTCCCCCATTGATATAGTCCTACATAGACCTTATGAAAATTTGAAATTCTGTATTAAACGTTGAGTTTATTTAATGTGTTGTTTCCTCCACCAGCCTGTATGCTCTGTAGGGCCAAGGACCACGTCTACTTATTCACTGCTATGTATCTAGTACAAAATAGACCATCAAAAATGGGTTTAATATTGAATGAATGAAACGTGGTAGAAACCCCATTATTCACCCTGCTCCACCCACAACACACGTATAACTTTGCGAATTAGTCTGAAAACTAGAAAACAGGGAACTTGGGTGTCTTCCCTACTTCTCTGCTCCCACGTGATCCCTGGCCCACTGTACGCTGGTTGTAAAAAACATACTTCTATTAATGTTATTATCACATTGCATTGTAACTGACTGCCCTAAAAGGAAATGAACTAGTTATCTGTGTGTCCATTAATTTCTAATAGTGCCAGGTGATTTCCTTTTGTTTTACCTTTTAATGTGAATCAAGAAATAGCTTATGAAAATGATACATTCAGTAGCTCAGAATATAGGGACATATTGGATGGCATAAAAGAGAAATTCTGTGAAATCAAATAAAGTCAATAATTACAACAAACAAAATGTCACTTCCTTCTAGTTACAATTTTACAGGATTTAAAAAATTGTAAGGTTAAGTATCTTCCAAAAGGAGAATTCTACACATTTAATAAAAACAAATCACCAAGAGTACTACTCTTTTTTTCCATATAAAATAATTCCTTCACAATCTTTTCAGTAAAAAGCCAGAGATACATACATGATGGTGTTAATGCCTGAGAGCTGTTGGAACATTTGTAGGCCACAACCCACAATTAAAGCTCGGCGAGTTGGGGGATAACTCAGCATTCTGCAGATCACAGGTCCAGCTTTCATAAAAAAGAAAGAAAAAGAAGGACATGTCTATTATTTTTAGCTCCCAGAGTAATTATTCCCATTAGGATAAATTTCCCCAAATCTCTGTGAAATCAACATGACTGGACATTTAAAAATAGAACATATGTACTTTTATAGAAACCTGGGCACAATATATTTTTGAAAACAGTACATATTTGAGTTAAAACTATAAAATCAACATGAGAGAATTCAAGTTAAAGCAATTTATAGCTACTAGAAAGTTCTACATAATTGTAACTGTCACAAATTATTCTTCCTTAAATCCCTATGAGCTGTATTAACCACTCTTTGTTCTTCTGCTTCCTGGGCAATTAATTACTATTTAAAATCCATTCAATGTGGGACTACTTACAAAGTCACTGGAAAAATTGCTTTAATCAACTGAAAGAATGGCATTCATTAAAAACAATGAAACAAGTAACAGGATTCATTACAATTTATTTGGCTAAAGTAACAATATTCATTCCAATATATTTAATTCAAGTTAAGGAATTTGGGGTGATATCAGACTTGGTTATGACTGCAATGGATATTATTAATAAAAATTACCTAAAAGGTAAAAAAAAGATGAAATTTAATGTCTATTTTATATAGGTATATATGTATGATATTTCTAGATATTTTTAATAGCTTCCTAAGAGGTATTCAATGATCATTTCAAAATATAAATGGGCTTTCAAAATGGTGCAGATCCCTTGGTCCCTATATCAGAATGCTAGACCAATTCTGAAAAGCTGTAGATCTGAACCACTAAGGCCTTAAGTAAGATGACTAACCAACTGATGTCTGTTGTCTGGGCATAATTACCTAAAGTGCCCCTTCTAATCTCAGAAGTGCTTGTTACGCCTTCACCTTAGCCTTAAGAGGCATTCTATATAGTGTCCTTATGGGACCAGAGTTGACTCCTAGGTCCTATGGTATAGCCTGGGATCACTGGGATGTTAACTGCTTCATTAGCAGCATTTTTCCTGGAGGCAATTTTCATTAATGAACCCTAAACCAAGTCAAGTAAATTAAATTCTGAGGAAATTTCACCATTTCAGAATCTTTTGGAAATCTAATATTCCAGTTCACAAAAATGGGATATGGAATAGAACGTGCTATTGTCTCAGCAATAAAATTTAATACAGGATGTTAAGCCTGGGGATTAATGAGAACTGAACATTACTGGGGTGAGGATATTCATCTCTACACAGGTATGATTACAATCACATGAAGACTTGATTTACGGCAAACAATTTTGTCTCTAAATGCTAAGACTGGACACACCCATTTAGAAAGCAGGCTGAGAGTATTATAAATGTCAAAATGTTTTAGATTCAAGTAAAGCGGTATTAAAACCTAGTATATCAGAAAGGTTATATGAAATAGGTAGACTTTGGGACAATACTGAAATATATCTGGATCAGTTCTCTGAAAGATAAGCAGACTCATCTGCAAATTTAGATATCTATGAATGAGCCACAAAATAAGAAATGTGCACAGCATCATATAAACATCTACCTATTTCCAAAATCAAAAAAATTCAAATAAAAGATTATAATTTACCTTATATACCATGGAAAAATTTTTAAATGACATCTATGATGTTGTAATAAAACAAAACAAAAAACACCCAAACCCTTTTTCAGCTTTTAAGAAACTCCACAGATGACAAACTGGCCTTCTGCAAGAAATCTATCATAATCTTTGGATAGCTGTATCTACTTTCACTATTAAACTGTTCCATGGGCTGACAGACAGATTAGGTAATACTGATTTTTGAGGGCAGAAAAACAAAGAGAAAATTATGACAAATTTGGATTAAAGTTTGATTTGCCAAAATATCAAGAGATAAATTATCACATAAACATCACATATTTATTTCCTAGTTTTAAAAAATCTGGGCTTTGAAAAAAGGAGCTGGAGGAATCAGGCTCCCCGACTTCAGACTATACTACAAAGCTATAGTAGTCAAAACAGTATGGAACTGGCACAAAAACTGAAATACATATCAGTGGAACAGGATAGAAAGTCCAGAGAAAAACCTAAGCACCTATGGTCACCTAGTCTATGACAAAGGAGGCAAGAATATACAATGGAGAAAAGACAAGTCTTTTCAATAAGTGGCGCTGGGAAAACTGGACAGCTACCTGTAAAAGAATGAAATTAGAACACTCCCTAACACCATACACAAAATAAAGTCAAAATGGATTAAAGACCTAAATGTAAGGCCAGATATTATAAAACTCTTAGAGGGAAACATAGGCAGAACACTCTTTGACATAAATTGCAGCAAGTTCTTTTTTAATCCACCTTCTAGAGTAATAAAAATAAAAATAACAAATGGGACCTGATTAAACTTAAAAGCTTTTGCAGAGCAAAGGAAACCATAAACAAAATGAAAAGGCAACCCACATAATGAGAGAAGATATTTGCAAAAGAAGCGGCTTATAAGGGGTTAATCTCCAAAATATACAAATAGCTCATGCAGCTCAATATCAAAAAAAACCCAAACAACTCATCAAAAAGTGGGCGGAAGATCTAAATAGAAATAGACATTTCTCCAAAGAAGACATACAGATGGACAAAAAGCGCATGAAAAGATGCTCAACATCACTAATTATTAGAGAAATGCAAATCAAAACTACAATGAGGTATCACCTCACGCCGGTCAGAATGACCAACATCAAAAAATGTACAAACAATAAATGCTGGAGAGGGTGTGGAGAAAAGGGAGCCCTCCTATGCTGTTGGTGGCAATGTAAATTGGTACAACCATTATGGAGAACAGTACGGAGGTTCCTTAAAAAACTAAAAATAGAGCTACCATATGATCTTGCAATCCCACTCCTGGGCATATATCTGGAGAAAACCATAATTTGAAAACATACATGCACCCCAATGTTAACTGCAGCACTATTTACAATAGCCAGGACATGGAAGCAACCTAAAAGTTCATCGACAGAGGAATGGATAAAGAAGATGTGGTACATATATACAATGGAATATTACTCAGCCATAAAACAATGAAATAATGTCATTTGCAGCAACATGGATGGACCTAGAGATTGTCATACTAAGTGAAGTCAGACAGAGAAACACAAATATCTTATGATATCACTTATATGTGCAATCTAAAAGAAAATGGTACAAATGAACTTATTTACAAAACAGAAATACAGTCTCAGATGTAGAAAACAAACTTATGGTTACTTATGGTGGGGGAGGGGAGGGATATACTGGGAGATTGGGATTGACATATACACACTACTATATATAAAATAGATAACTAAGAGGGACCTACTGAATAGTATAGGGAACTCTTCTCAATACTCTGTAATGACCCCTATGGGAAAAGAATCTAAAAAAGAGTAGATATATGTACATGTGTAACTGATTCACTTTGCTGTACAGCAGAAACTAACACAATATTTTAAATCAACTATACTCCAATAAAAATTTTTAAAAAAACATGGTTACATCTAAAAAAAATCTAGGTTTTGGACTTTCTTTTGGATTTCCTGTAAAAATAAACAATGGTAGTTCCTTTATAAGACTGGATTGTTTTATTTAAAGATAAATTTTGGTCACAGCAGCTGCATATCTGATTATGCAGAACAAAAGTAAAAAACAAAAGTAACAAAAGTAAAAAATTTCCTTTTATTAAAATCATAAACCTAGCTTTATTAGGCAGTAAAACTAACTTAACAAATGCAAACCATTAATCTTAATATCACAGAAGCTATGAGGCCAAGACAAATTCAGATACATGAATTGGCTGAATGTTCATAAGTGAAAATTTAAAACGTCATGCTCTAATTACATTTCTTTTGATTTTTGTAATTAAAAACATTTTTATGTATACAACCATTTCACACCTTATTTTTAACAAAACATCTGTGTCTTTGAAATACAGAAATTCCCACACAATAAAAACTAAAACCTCTAGATAACAAAAGCAGAATGGAAATGCAGAACTCAAAATATAACACATAATAAAACAACAGAGGCAAAAACCGCAAATGGGTTCATCTTTTCCATCATTCTGGACACCTCATACCAAGTAACTTTCACAACAGTTGTCCCGGTGTGGCAGGTGCTCTGGTGGCAGGGCTGAAAAGGACAGTGCAACAAGTGCAACCACTTCTGTGGACAGGATGTCTGTGAGGAAGCTGAGTCTAAAAAAGTTTCTCCAGGTATGATTAAAAATGTACTAGAACACACTTTGTATAAAAGTCCAGCTCTTGACTTCCACTTCCAGCCAAGGTGGAGTAACAGTTATCAGATTTACCTCCAACATGAAACAACTAAAAAGTCAGGCAAAAATGCATGAAACAGTAGTTCTCATGATAATGGGACAAAGAATAGTGACCCCTGATATTCAGGAAGCAAATGAGATGAACCCTCCAGATGCCCCAGCCTAAGCCTGGAAAAAAGTATCCAGGCTATAGCACAGGGAGGGGAGAGCAGGTAGACGCTGGTGGTCTCCTTGAGTTGAAAAGATGCAGCTCAGGATCCAGGTGGCTAGAGTTCACAGGGTAGCGTGCTGGAGAGGAGAGAGACTCACGGAAAGGACACTGGAGATCTGCAGGGCTCCTTGACTTTTCAGTTGAATACTGATCAGTGGATGTGTGTGAGGAAACTACCCAGTCAGGGGAAAGAGCCACAGGAAAGGACGAAAGAAATGAACCCCAGGAATTTACACAGGACTGAGAGTGAAAAACCTAGAGCATAAGGAAGAATATTCAGAAGGGTTTTTACCTCAGTAATGGTATAAATTTAGTCCTGGATTAAACACTGCTTGGGCACCATCTAAACAGTTTAAATGAAAGACCCAAATGCTTCCAAGTAACTGAATAGCATCCCACAACTAAGTTCAACAGTAAGATAAAATTTATAATGTCTGGCATACCATATAAAATTACGAGGCATGCAAAACGGCAGGAAAGTATAACCTGTAATGATAAAGGGATTAATTCAGCAAGAGGAT